AATAAATAATAATAATAATAATAATAATAATAATAATAATAATAATAATAATAATAATAATAATAATAATAATAATAATAATAATAATAATAATAATAATAGTAATAATAGTAATAATAGTAATAATGATAATAATAATAATAATAATAATAATAATAATAATAATAATAATAATAATAATAATAATAATAATAATAATAATACTAATATTGTCGTTGACTCTAATTGTACTGTCACCAGCAGTACAACTACATAAATGTATTATCAACGGCAGTACAATTACGTTAATGTACTACAGTAACAGTATAATTACGTTAATTTACTGTTAGTGACAATATAATTTCTGTTAGTGACATTATAATTACGGTTAGTGACAGTATAATTACTGTTAATGACAACACAATTACGGTTAACGTTTAGCGGTGGACGTAAAAAAGAAAATCACTAAAAAAATCAACGTCGGAAACTGTCGACGGAAAAAACAGACCAGAAAAAAATGAAATTGTCAGCGCTGGAGACCGGCGGTTAATGTCGGAAACTGGTGGCGGAAAAAACTGACAAGAAAAAAAAAATCAAAAAGTAATTTTTGAAAAAAAAAAAGTTTTAAAAAAAGTCAAAATTGAATTTTGTGGTCAAAATTGAATTTTGTGGTCAAAATTGATTAAATTTGGTTTACAATTAAGAATTGGATGTAAAGTGTTTGGGGGTAATTTTGTCATATGCATTAATTTTTCCTTTATTTATAATACAAATTAAAGGAATGGACTTATTGGCGAAAAATATATAGCCCCTGGACCTAAAATAATAAAGATGGTTGGTCAGATACTTATGCATAAAAACCCAAATAAAAATTAAAAAAATTAAAAAATAAATTGTTAACACTCCCCTACCAAACTACCTCAATGTATTAATACACTATACATCTAATATAAAATTAAAATACTTCACCGTACACATGTATTTTTTTTCTTATACCTTTTACATACACTCATATATCTACGCGAGCAACTTCATGCTAAACATCAAAATTGAATTATCAAATACTCATTTGATAATTAAGATAATATTTTAATATTCATTTACAATTTATCTACTCCAACCATTGTTATCAAAATTAATAATCAATTGGAAGTTTTTTAGTGGTTTTATTTGTAATATCCACATGTCATTTTGTGATTGGATGTTTAGATGGTTATTTTCTTATAACTCAATTTTCAGGATGTATTTTTACATACAAAGAGGTAGAATACCAAAATACTTATCTATTTTGATACTCCCATTAGAGTAGAAATTTTTAATTTTAGAATATAAAAAAGGTGGTTTATGGGTTTGATAATCCATTTGATACTCCCATTGGAGTTGCGTATATATGTCACTCTACGGTAATACGGTATTTATTGAAGATTATTAGGTATAGAATGTATCGAACTATCAAAACTAGGTATGTGTTTGGTATACCAATACCATATATAACTATCATTATGAAAATTTGATACGATAACATTCATAATTATTAACCTATCAAAATTTGTGTGTTATTGATTAATTAGTATTTTAGTTTATTAGGATTTAGTTTTGTATCATGATAGGATTCTAGTTATTTACTTCCTCTGTCCCAATTTAAATGACGTTTTGAGTTGTTACACACATATTAAGAAAATCAATAAATGTGTATAGATTATAGTGAAAAGCATAGGAAAATACTAATATATCTTTGACATTAATTATTTTACAACTAACAAATTAGGAGTGATAAATGGTAAAATTGAAATAATGCAATTAATGATGCATTGAAAATTTAAAATGACAAATAATTTGGCACAAAAAAAACTCTCTAAAAAGACATATAATATGGGACAGAGGGAGTAATTTATATATGTTATATGTTTCTTATTGGGAATTTAACGTACATACATATGAATTTCCAAGAATACTTGAATCAACGTGTATTAACATAAACATACATAAATATGGAAGCGTATCTTTACATTATGGAATCGACTATTCGAATCTCCACTAGATTTGGTACATGTTTTCTTAAGAATCCGCAATTTATTAATTATCTGTATAACGATGGATTTTAGAAGAGATGGAATGGTTGCGTTTCTTTGGGGATCATGACTCTTTATATAACTGTAGAGTACAGTTATCTTACAACTGTGATTCATACCCATCAATAAATCACAATTAAATCTTAATTGTGTCTACTTATTAGGCCCATAATTATAGATTAATATCTATAAGTCCAACCAAATAATCTTCATTAAATCACAATTAATTTAAACTTTCTTTCTAGGGGATTTTATGCATAAAGCCCTAACCAATCATCTTTATTATTCTAGGTTTAGGGGCTATATCTATTTCACCAATAAGCCCATTACTTTAATATTTACTAGTAATTGTACCCGTGCGATGCACGGGATAACAAATTGC